TGGATTGTAAAAACTAAAGCGAATGTTTAACTTGATCCGGTAAGACTACAAAGCAGAGAACATCCCTGAATTTACGAGTTAATGCGAGTTTACATCAAAACTACTAGAAAGATCAAAGGATGGATCTCTTTCCTTAAGATTTGCAATTCGACAAGCTTTTGTTTCAGTTGATCTCTTCCTATGTGAAGGTTCGATAATTTGTAGCTATAAAGACTTGGTAGAAATCCGAACTTTCTTCTCTCTGCTTCATGTCAAATCCTGCCTTTGTCTCTTTGTTTCATCTGAGTATATAATATTTATATATGCCTAAACATTTACGGTCTGTACAAAAGCAAACAAAGCACACGAATCTTGTAGCTTTCACTTGGATACAAGGGAAAAAAAACTATCAGCAACATGTAAATCAAACCAAGATTGTTGATCTTAATTTCTTTTGTAAAGGATCTCCATTTCTTCTCTTACTTTTGGGAGTTTGTTGAGATGTTCAAGGGATGAGCACACCTGCAATGGATGCTACTAGCAGAGCAATGTATCCTTTATTCTTCTTCGTCTCTGGACATGAAGAAGACAGAAAAAGACCCGGATTTCCGCCCACGCTTGTCATTACAACAATAGTAAACGTTAATGTGGGAGCAATTAAGAATCTTTTTCAAGAACATGTGCAAGAATTGGTTGACTCTAAAAATATGTCTAAAAGCTTCATCTTAGTGCAAACCTTAACTTAAGTGATCCGTTACTTGATCTCTCCAGTAGCTTCGGTGGAACCAAGCCCGTTAACTGGTTTCCTTCCAAGTTTCTGCAGAAATACACACAGAAGCCATATGAATATCAATTGCTTTATACACTGATGAGTTTAAGTGGAATGTATGGTCTAGTTGGCATTACTTACAACTCTGTTAAACTCGGTAAATAGGCGAAGCAATCGAGTACATTTCCTTTTAAATTGTTGTTTGATAAATCCCTGCAACAAAGATTGGTTATGTCGATTTGAGTTCACAAAACTCTGTACACTCTTTCAGTGTTCATAGCATCAAACAAATAAATACTAACAATTTCTGAATTGATGTAAGGTTGCAGAAGGCTGGATCAATCAGACCAGACAACCCGCTGAAAGATAAGTTCCTGCAACTCACCAATGTTGTCTTAGAAACATGTACAAACACTAAAAGAACAGAACATCTACGAGTTTTAAGCAAGACTCTCACAATGAAACGATTCTCGGAGGATTCTCACAATTAAGACCTTCCCAAGAATAATCTAATGGAATACATGGATCTCCTTGCCAGTTCTTCTTCACTCTGTACATGGCCTTAATCTTCCTAATGGCATCCACTGAGGCACATGAAAACAACTTAATCTTCCTTGTCTAAGTATATTATTCATTTGTTACCGGAAAAAGGAGGGAAAAATATTCGTTACCATCTAATTGATGTGTAGGTGATTGAAGAGACTCATTGACTTGATAGGCCTCAATGGCATTGATGATCGGTTGAAGGGTCGATCTATTAGTTGGCCTAATAGAAATCTCGATTCTTGATCCGCTCGCGGGGTTCTTGGTGAAAATTGTATCAGTAAACAAGAAGCGAGGACTAAATGCAGTGGGTCCTGTTGGCTCACCATTCACCGTTACATTGAACTCTCTGGTCTCATTTCTCTGCAGCTCAACAATTTCAGCAAAGTGCATGAATATATAAAACTTCGCCTTAGGATCTTTTGGTTCAATCAGCATATTGATATACTGGATGGCTCTTTTTGGTGCATTCGCCGTTCTCATCACAATAAGAGGTGGTTGAAAAATATTGTTGCTAGTCTGATCTATTGCGAGCGACGTGTTCAAGATAGTAAAATTCTCAAGTCGCCGCGGTGTCCATAAGCGGTCATAAGCATCATCTTTGTACCTAAATCATAAAAAAATTACTATTAGCTAAAGTTTTTAAATCGGTGAAACAAGAGCATAGGTCAAAGATAATTTAACCTGACAGAAGTATTGCTGATTGAGCCCACATCGCGTCTTGCAACTAGCATAAGGTTTTCATGAGGAGTCTCATACATGTCATTCTTTAGAAGCCTGAGCTCTAAGACAGACATAAATGGAGTTCCTCTGCCTTTATTCACAAGACACACATGAACATGGTCTGAACCAAGAGTGTGGATGATCTCTTTGGTTACTATCGAAGTTACATTATCTATAGTAACAGAATCCCAGAGATTGACTCCAAGATAAAGATCGAACTCGGGTGCTTTTCCTAGATTATCATAGTTACCATACATGAAACGGGTTCTGATCAAATACTTGAAGCCTTTTCCACGCGGAGGCTGCATATCGTAACAATTTCTCTTGCCTTCAGGGAAGCTCCTAACGTTTTGGAACTGCTTCTCAAGAAAATTTGTTTGAAACTCAGTATTTATGCTATGGCTTGTCCCGGATTCAACAAATTCAGCATCTGAAATGTACTTTATGTCTGTACTTTCATCATTGTATCTTGAACCATCCGGTAGTCCGCAGTCGATACTGACAAATCCTGTTAAAGAAAACACAGTTACACATACAGACAAAGATTTAGCCTCACAATCATAACAAGACCATTAATTATGTACCTGATTGGTCTTGAGCTTGAACAAGAACTACAAAGCTTGCGATTGTAACCAACAGAAGAAAGTTGAAGAGGGCCATTAATTTTTCAGATTTTAAAAAGCCTCTTATGTATTATATAGAAGCTTAGAGCAGATATAACCTATATTGACAAGTTAAGCATTAAAGTCTTTCTTGTTTGAGACTATTCTACATCCATGTTGTCTGATATTTAAATCACCAATATTAATCTAATAGATCATAGATTAATCAGCAAGACCAAGTCATTAATTAGGCACATGAAAATGTTCTTCTCCTAAATATTTCGTCAACGACTAAGCAAGTTCATACCATTTCAAGTAACTAATGGTGACAGACTCAAAGGTTAAAGAATTGTAGTTTCGATTAGTTTTCGCTACAGAACCCATGAAAATTTCAATGACTTCTGGATAACATGAGCAAATTGGTTCCCAAAGGCATGAAGAACTTTCCTCACAAGATAACATTAACATTAGCATCTACTTGATTTTTCAAAAACAACCGAGAGGACCTAAGAGACAAGCTTCAAGGAGATGCAAAGAACTATAACATCACATAGAAATCAAAATTGCAGAAGACAAACAGAAGAACACCTACATCAACTTTAGAGCAACCTGGTCTTGTACCATCTATCATTAGAAACATCAGTTATGATCACTGTATTCATATGCAATATGATGAACCAGCCACTATCCTCTGTTCTTCATCTATTTCCCGCAAGTTGATGTATTTTCTTCTTACATCAACCGATCATACAAATCTTTTTTCTACAAACTAGCAAACGAAACATGAACGTACCTTCTGCACTGTCTTCATGAACTTTTGCTTCTATTTCCCTAATTTTTTTAATGTTGTCCAGATCCAAAGCATTTTTAAAGTCTTATGACCTTACAAAGACACTCTCAGGCTCACAGGTTATGTGTTTATCGGACAGATTCAATCGAAGATTCTGAATCGTAATTTTTTGTCCAGTAAAGAATGATATATATGTAGCTCAAGAAATCAAACTGAAGAAGTGTCTATCAGAATGCAAAAGAAAATGGATAAAGAATCTCACCTTAACTTTGGTGTCTAGGAAATCAAACATTTCAATCAAATTCAACCTTCTTGCTCTTTATCACTCTTCATTTTGTTCCATAGCACGAAGAATTTTCCATTTGTTGCAAAACTCAGATGGAATCAAGAAACATCTACTTCGGATGAGGAACCACTCCCGGGTCCTTAATCATTGATACCATCATCTTTGTTGGATCTCTGAGAGTAACTTCACTGGAACCACCACTGGTTCTTGCTCTGCAGAGACTCTCCTTTAGTTCAAACACCACCTGACTCATTGTCAGTCTTGTCTCTGAAGTCTGAGATGCATAAGCCAATGCTACTTCGCTGATCTTCCAGGCCAAGCCGGCGTTGAACATATCTCCTAGCCTCGGGTCCACAATGCTTCTGATATCCCCTTTGGACAGCATTAAGCTGACTCGGTCGGTTATGTGTCTGTTCTCTTCTGTGCTTGAACGTGAAATTACCGCCAAAACAGCCACATGAGAGTGATTTCCACCATCAATGAACAAAGTTTTCTTTTGTTTAATCAGCCTCAATCCAAATTTGGATGATAAAAAGACCTCCAGTAGACGAGAGTATTGTCTTGATCGAATCTTCTGAGCCATCCGAGAAGCTAAGGTGCGTTTGCAACGGATTCTGGCATTTGGGATGAATTCCAAAATTTCTAATTTTTGACCTTTTTTTTTTTGGAAAGATAACAAAATCAATTCAAGAAAATAGAAATACACATGTTTTACAAAATGAACTAGGTAAAAATATACGTGGGACAAAATGACTAT